CCAGAACGCAATCAACAGACACGACCATAGCTCACTTCCAGCTAAACACACAGACGACAACGGACACACATTCGACTGGTCTCAAACGAGATGCCTAGGACAAGCAACTACTAAACATGCCCGTGAGTTTAAAGAAGCGTGGCATAGTTTAGACAAACAAACATTTAACCGTCACATTGACAACCCTACAATTTACTTACAACTGAAACGCTCTCACAAATCTCCTAATTCATCTTCATTAACCTTTAACCCACCCTCAACTTCCTTCCCTACACCGTCTCATGATAACAATAATCACCCGCATTCGATAGTAACTAATGGCAACCAACATATTGAAATCCATCAACCAATCAGACGTTCCCACAGACTTCAACAACGTCAACAACAGCGCGAAAATTCAAATGATCAATCTTTCTGATGAAGGCTCGAAGTACCGAGTCGAAAGCTCAAAACAAATAATTACAATCCGGAGAACACTGTATAATTTTGTAAAAATTATAATTTTATATATATATATATATATATATATATATATATATCTATAAACGAGTATGTTTATGACATTCAGTATATAGTTCATAATTTCCAGTCTTAAATCCGTCTGACCGTGTAGCTCAGTTGGAAGAGCGTCGATCTAGTAATTCGAAGGTCGCGGGTTTAAGACCCAGCCGCGGCAGGCTTTATCTTTCTACTTAAGCTGGGTATGGAAATTATAAAATACACACTCGAAAACATTTTATATATATATATATATATATATATATATATATATATATATATATATATATATATATATATATATATATATATATATATATATATATATATATATATAAACTAGGGATCCAAGGATAGTGTGAAGTTTCGAATTGAAAAAGAACTATATATGGTCGCCGACAACCTAGAAAAGCTGATGGCTTACACTACGAAATAAACAGTTACCAAAGGCATTTCATCTCATTATTTATTGCTTTTAATACGCTCGGCACACGAGTAGCGTGACGTTTGAAACAAGCCTAACACATCAGAAACATGCCTTGTGAAACTGATGCAATTCATCTATTTATTGTGTCACCAACAACCAAATTTTGCATATTCTAAATTTTCATTTGCATTTGCAGCTGTCGCTGAAAGCATCCCCACGAGACTACTGCTATGCTAAATTTATCTAATAAACTATAATTGAAATAGCTGTATAAGATATGTATGAATAATAAGCACTACGTCGTTACATCATTAAAAGACGCATTTTATCCTCATCCGTTCCGTATTTTATCCGCATATCCGTTCCGTGGATCCGCTCTATCCGCTTCCGCATTTTAACTTAATTGTGACATGTTCCACAATAACAAGTTTCATTGACCTTTGACTTTCCCAGTGTTGACGTGTGTCTATTTTCAGCCTTTCGCATGTGTTGAATTTATGCCTTATTGATCTGATACAAATCTGATGCAATTTTTCGCTCTTTGTACTGAGTAAAGCCATCTATTCTGTGATGTAGCACCTTATACAGTCAATGACAATGTATAATGAATACACGGTCTAAATAATATCGACGGTAATGCATAACATCAATTTTTAATATATATTGTATTACTATTATTCCGTAGAATCTCAAAGATTTTCTGAATATTCATGTCTGAAATGTTTATATACTTGAAAACAACACTGTTTCGCTTCTGCCTGCACGTACTACAGTACAATGACCTCTGTATAATGAGTATACCGTGAAAAACTAATATCGGCACTCAATTGAATGCCTAGAAGCAAGATTTTCGACTCAATATTTACGTCTGAAATGTTTAGACACTTAACTGCACTGTCTAGGCGGTCTAGCTCCTTCCTAGCTCTGTATAATGAATATACCGTCGAAATATTATCGGCACTTATTAAATTGAACGCCCGTAATGCATAAGATCAATTTATATATTGTGTAGATTTTCAAAGATGTGCTCAATATTCACGTCTGAAATCTTTATATACTTGAAAACAACACTGTCTCGCTTCTGCCTACGTACTGTACCTCTGAAAAATGAGAATACCGTGAAAATAATATCGGCACTCAAATGAATGCCTAAGAATCAAGATATTCAACTCAATATTTACGTCTGAAATGTTTACACACTTGACTGCACTGTCTAGGCGATCTAGCTCCTTCCTAGCTCTGTATAATGAATATACCGTCTAAATATTATCGGCACTTAATTGAACGCCCGTAATGCATAAGATCAATTTATATATTGCGTAGATTTTCAAAGATTTAGACAATATTCACGTCTGAAATCTTTATACATCAGAAAACAACACTGTCACCCCTTCCTAGCATATCGTCACGCCATCGTGATCTACGGCTTGATAGCGCATGCGCATTTGCGCTACCAAAGAAAAAATCGGGTGTTCCGGGGTAAAGATCCTTTACACAACATGAGAAGCGAATGTTCTAAAATTTACAAAAAATTACAATAACGAAAGCGATTCCTCGATATTTTTGTGAACTTGGCAAAAGGATAACAGAATATGTAAATAAGTTAACTGAAATTGCCTAAATAACCTTCAAAGCACTGACTAAGTATGATAAATCACTACGAACATATACCGTATACACCCCCCGGAAAGTTTACTCTATGACTGACTGTTTGACTGACTGATTCGTGTGAATTCGCCAGCCATAACAATAGTGTGAAGTGAAACTTCACACTAAAAATCAAAGCTAAAGTTTATGTAAATTAACAAGATTTTTTATCACATATAAAACCACGAAACGCTTATGATTTTTCTTTGTGTTTTCACCCTGAATTATTAATGAGTTTAAAATATATATATATATATATATATATATATATATATATATATATATATATATATATATATATATATATATATATATTAGTTCGCCATTGATGCTCGTTTGTCCCTCTCGTCAACCGCAGCAGTCGCAAACAACGCTGGGCAGTCCTCGTCTCGTCCAGCAAATAACCTCGCTGAGAATGCTTCCCCAGACAATTTGGAATCGCAGACCGCAAATAACCAAACTGTTCATCCGGCTGATGGTATGGTTAGTGGTGTTAATGCTCATTTATCTGACGCCAGAGGTAGGCTCCGTTCCTTCTTTTATTAATACGTTTGCCACGCCATCTACTTCATTGGTTTGGTCGGGTAACAGTTCCAGTTCTCCCTCCTTTGCGCTAGCCACGGGTAGTGTGCCGTATTATTGCAACCCTAACGCTAGTAGTGGGATCTCGTTACCACAATCGAGTTTCTCATCATTTATTGATGGCCCAGGTTATGCCCCAATACCTGCAAAACTGTCGGTGCTATTACTTCAGGAAGTATATAAATCGGGCTGATCTTCTCCCGGATAATTCCTACGCCGTCGACGAGTCCAACGAGCCCCATCTGCTTTTAGATGGTCGCCTAGTTTTAACAGGCATGATAGATAAAAAAAAACGCGGAAAAAGATTGTTGATATTGTTTCGTGGGTGGAGGCGTTTTCTATATATACCTTGACAGTTTGTACTTCAATCCCTCACTGTTGCCTATAAGTTGTTGATTTTACGCACGTAACGCCAGTTCCAGAGTACTGCATGGTTAACGTACGACAAGGCCTTTAGACAACACACAGCCGCTCTAGACCTTACGGACTAGTCGGAACTGAACGTCCAGTTGTTCAATTTTTATACCGCCGGTTCTGCTGCGAAACCTTCTCATTCGATTCCGCAACCGCGGGTCGATCGTGTGACCGAAGGGCAAGGCAATTCAGCTGCGTTTGTAGTCTGTGCATCGTGGAATCGAGGACGGTGTGTAGCCCCCACTGCATTGTGTCGCTTTCGCCATGTATGTTCGAACTGTTCGGCGGATCACCGAGGCATAAACTGTCCAACTTCTGGTAAAGCCCCTAGTTACCCGATCCCGCCCAAAAGCCGTCGTTTCTAGAATGCTCTAGTACGCATCAAGCGCTCTGGCGGTGTGTTATGGGTATCATGTACTGTTTTAATTTCTATAACTTGGATTGTTAACATGCTTATTGGTTGTGAATCTCAGTTACTAGGTTTTTATAATGTTGACGTTTTTTATATATTTAGGGTCTGGTTTTACAATAAATGTGTTTGATTTTGGGGTTTTTTTTGAAACGCGTATGTTTTTTTTTTTTGTTTTTTTTGGTTTTTTTTTTTGGGGGGGGGTGGGGTTAAATTCTCTGTCAAGTGCACTGGCGGCGTCGTTTGTCGGCTTCATTATTATTAACACCTTACACACATAGCCAAGGTCGCTGTTCGCAATATGCAACCTCGCGATTAGTGGGGTTACTGGTATTCACTTGCAGTGCATCACCGCGTGTTATACTATACGACGTATATATTTTGTGCTTCCGTCTGTATAGTTTATATGGGGAATGTGACCTTCAGGCAGTCTCCATGTTGACAGACCCCGTTGTCACTTACACATCTCTGTCAGCATATTCGCTCGAACGGACGGAAGGCACAAGGGTTTCCGTTAAGTTTACCACTTACAATTAATGGCGCTGGCGGTGTTATTTGTCACACAGCTCACAGCTGGAGTCTTCTTACTCCTCAGTACACTAGCGTCCATTTGCCTTGCCATGCTAAGTTGCTTTGGCCTTGCTTTGTTGTGCTTCGGAAGTTCGCTTAGGAGCTGGGCATTATGAGCTAGGTGCCTGGCTAGTGACGCGTTAACTTACGTACTCTTCGTTTTTACCGTCGTGTATTATTTTTTAGCCTACAGGTTGGTGGAAGTGCTATTCGGGTTGTCTTTTCATGTCGCGCAGTCGCGAAATAGATTAGTCATTAATTTTACCCAATCCCTAACCCTGACATCCTATTAAACCACATATATTTCGCGACTGCGTGGCGTGGAAATGTAGCCCTAATTCGTCACCTCCTTACGAGCCGGCCAATTGCGTGTTCAGCGGCGACCGTACTGCATAAATATCGGGTATCGCAATGCTTGACAGTATTTAACCTTAACCTTAGCCGCTTAGAATGGGTATTTTCGGGATGTCACATTCTACTGGTTCTTAAGCCTGTCGCGTTGCGTTACACAGGGACCTATTTATTTCGTGCTCGTGCTCTAGCTCAAGCATATTTAGAATATAATAGTTTCTAGCGCTTTACAATGAATAAAGTATTATTCATATATAATTCAGCCGGATTTAAATGACAGAATGCAAAACCTTGAAAACGAAAATCAGAGCTTATCAACGGCATTAACACTCTTGCAACACGAATTAGATAATACTCAACAACATAAATGGAAAGTTGTAAAGGCGAAGTATAATAAACCACCTCCAGAGACCCCAGCAGGATCAAATACTATTGAAACAAAAAATCAATATACAACCCTTAGGGTCACTGATTCTGAACATGACGATATTCTAGCAAGACTGAATACCCAACAGATTCTAGATGAAACTTCGAATACAACCAAACACAGCAACATACAGATGGTTGGAAAAAGCAGTGGTCCATCAAATTCTAATGAGTCAAGTCGTGACTCACAACGCAGTCAACCTAGAATAGCTATCCTCGGAGATTCGATGATTAAACATTTGGACACCAAACGAATGCAGAATGGATTGAAGAAAGGAAAAGTAACGATTAAGACATTTCCTGGTGCAGGTATTGACCAAATGAAGCATTATGCAGTACCAACTCTAATTACCAAGCCAAAGACACTTATATTTCATGTTGGAACCAACGACTTACATAACAAAACACCAGAAGATCTAATAAATGCAATGAATGATCTTGGTGAAACGATCCATAGACAGAACAACGATCTGGAACTTATATGGTCGGAAATAATAACTCGAACTGATGATCCAAACTTAGCAGAAAAGGTAAATGTAGTCAATGCCGAGCTCGCTAAATTATGTACAGATAAGGGCTTATTAAACACAACAACATTAAAGGAAGTCTTTTAAATAACTCTGGTCTACATTTAAATAAACATGGAACTACTACATTAGCTAAAAACATAAGACAATTTCTTAGCAGCCATTGACTAGATCCTGAGTTTTC